AATATCTATATAACATTTAAAAAAATGAATATTAATAAATATTTATCATAAATATTCTGTGCTGTCTGGGAATTTCCATTTCGATTATTTTTTTTATTCGAAAATTATTTATTATTATTTATTTCAATCGATTTTGATCTCCGATCGATTTTTTAGTAGAGTCAATTGTTCGCTATAAATTGAAATATCTAATAATATTCAATCTTATAATTATAAATTCACAAATTTTGAAATTATTTATTTGTATATATCGATTTTTGACTGTATTATCTTGACTACAATTTTACTTATTTTACTTACAAATTGTGTTCGTCTTTTTATTACTGATATTTAAAATTTTTTAAGTTGTGTCAGAAACTACTATTAAGTTAAGATATCTTAGGTAGCCCCAAAGTAAGCAAATTAAATATAAAACTGTTAACTAAATTTGATTTAACTATATTAACTTTAATATAAAAAAAAGAATCAATTAAATTATCTTTGATCGAAATCAGTCAATCAGTATTAAACTCAGCTATACGTAACATTTTAAATGAAATATCAATAAATTCTAATCTTTGTAAAAAATATGTATATTACAGGTGCCACGACATTAAAAGCAGCAATAAAGTGATATTTTTTCTTGGGGAGAAACTTGTACGGTATGATGGCTGTCAGGTGGGCCTTTGCGATTGGGAGTTCCTGAAGAGCAAGTTCGATGAGCTGGCGTCAAATTGCAAGCTGGACGTCTGCTGGAAGGCGAACGCAGCAACCTCCAGCTTTCCTAATTCTATAGCCATCTTATTAGTGTGCTTTATTGTTTTAGTCCGTCTTGGTTACCGACAATTGTAAATACCTAAGCTTAGTTTCACTTCTTCTTAGCGTTACGTCGTAAAATACTGAGTACGAATGAGATCTTCAGTAGCCCTAAATTAATATATTTATAGGAGACTTCTGTTTTCCATAAAGCGGCGTCTACAGTGAGATTTTAAGATATAAAACTTAAGCTTTAACTTTAAGTTGTAAGAAATTGACCAATCATAGCCAATTATTCTCTTCACATTCGACTGTGATTGACCAATTTTTTACAGTTTAGAATTTAAAGCTTAAGTTTTACGCCTTAAAATTTCATTGTAAACACCGCTTAAAGTAAAAGAAACGTGCAGAAAATTAAGGCGTTAAATTGTAGCGATTGTACCGCTTTTAGAGCTGTGTTAATTTTGTGACTTTAAGCATATATTACGCATATTACGATATATATGCGAATAGAATATAATATTGTAGTAATAACGTTTAACGTATCTTTATATATAATTTATGCCTATATTATTTTATTACGTATTTTACGCCTAAGAATTATAATAGAGTTATTGTTATAATATTACATATTTCTTCCAATTTACGATAATGTCCTAATGTATTTTAAAATATATATTATATTTATGTTTTATTTATATGCGCCCATTACTATTATTCTAATTATCTATATCACAATCATAACCAAAACTATAATCACTCGCAAATCAAGATATGTGTGAAACATTGCGGATTGCCCAAAAACAAGTAGAATTGTCAGTTTAATTAGAGTATATTTTGCATATCAACTCCCTCGCATAATTAATTTATAGAAAATCGTGCAAGTAACATAACTACGATCGCACGCAGTTTACTTAATGAATCTGTGGTCGCGTGTTTGTCGTTATCAGTATGATGTATCAATTCATGGCACATAGAAGATAGATATAGACAAATAAAAACGTTTATTAACATTCTAGCAAGTTCTGTAAGAACATAAAAATCCTTGCAGTGAAAATTTTTCCCAGAATTTTTCGGAATGTTTATATAAAGCTCAGAATTTTTCAGAATTCTAAATAATTTTATAACTCTTAAAAATTAATTAGAATATTTCAGAATTTATATATGTATATGAAAGATTCTAAGAAAAGGATGTAGACAGTAAATATAATTTAATGTAACATCTCACCATTCTGATTTTCCTGTGATTTTGGAAATTTGTATATTTTTATGTGGAATATATTCTGATAAAGAAAATCATCGCTCAAGTGTGCCGTTTTATTTTTTCTTAATTTCAAAGTTTTTTAAACTAACAACATTAACAAACATCAGCAGTCATAAATTATCATTAAATTATTATTTTCTAACTTACCGACATAAAAAACTTCAAAAATAAAACGGGACTTGATGATCAATGTAGATTAACTTTAATCTCAGTTCAACTTACTCTTCATATTTTTCTTATTCTTAAAACTAGAACGACATTAAAGTTAAACTGCGTTGGTAGAAGCGACCCAAACAGAACAAGTCATTGTGATATCAAAATGAATCCAAAATTATCATTAAAAGCCATTTTTTAATCATTTCCGATTCATTTTAATGTCATTTTGACGTTATATCGTGACTTGTTCTGCTTGGGGACTATTTTAATTCCTTCTCAGAATATATTCTATGCATGAAAATACACAACCCAAACAGCACGGGGAACTCTCCAGGAGCTCCCCGGGAGCTCATAAAATTTTTGTGAGCTTCATTTAAGCTTCAAAAAGAACTCCCGGGAACTCCTATGTCCGAGAGTTTCCTAGGAGCTTCATTTTGATTCGTAGGAAGTTCTTTTTAAACTCCCCGAGAGCTCAGCAAAATGAACTTCCTGGGAACTTAATCGGAGCTTTGTGCTGTGTGGGAAATTTACAAACTATAGGAAAATCGGAAGGGGGTGTTATACAAATAGCAAACATTAGACCTAGTTTCACAACTAGTTAACTCTTAACCGTTAGTTAGTTAAATAGTTAAAGAGTTACATATAAACCGTAAGTTGTGAAACTGGACCTCAACTATTACGGCTCGGTAAAAACTTTTTCATGCATGAATATGTATAAATATATCTAAACATACACAAACACGTATAAATATTCATAAACATGTATAATTATATATGAAATATGTCTATACATATTCATATATCCCTTTTTCTTTTGTAAAATTACTTTTTAGTGTAATAGAAATAGTAATAGTAATGTGAAACATCAAAAATAATTAAAGGGATAGTATTCGTATTGTTCGTTTTAGAAAAAAACAAGTTTGGAAAAATGAAAAAAAATTGCTCATTCACATTTCTTCAAACTTGAGTTTTTCTAAAACAAATAGTGCGAAAATTACCCTTTTAATTATTTTTAATGTTTTCAAATTGCTATTATTATTTCTATTACACTAAAAAGTAATATTACAAGAGAAAAAAGAATGTATGGACATATTTCATATAAAATTATGTATGTTTATGAATGTTTATACATGTTTATGTACATATGTTTATACATAATTATACATATTCACGCATGATAAATTTTTTACCGCTTTGATGTAAATAAAACGTAAAGCGAGTGTTAATAAAGCGTTATATTGGAGTGTAAAGATAGTGTAAGGGGGAGTAACGGAAACTTAAACAAAACCCTTAAGAAGCGAAAATTGGAACATAGAACGTAAAAGAAGCGTCAACCAAACGTTAAAGAAACATAAATAAAGCGTAGATAAGTTCTTCGGCAAGCACGAGCACAATGTTCGTTAAATGTAAACGGAGCGTGATTAGACAGTCTAGAGAACGTAAACGAAGCATCGTCGAGTTCTTAGACGAACGTGAATAAAATTTGATCGAGGTTCCTGATAAACAAATGATAATATATTTTAAAATATATTTCATTCAGTAAACATCTAAAAAAATTATGCTTTTATCTTGGAGACCTTATAGGGGCTTACTTCAAAAAAATTATTTCATTAAAACACAACTGAAAAATCTTTCAATAGGCCTGTTCTTTTTGGCTGAACTTTTGCACCAGTTCATCTTTCTTCCTTTTTTTACCTCCTAGAAAGAAAAGGGAGAAAGATGAACTGGTGCAAAAGTTCAGCCAAAATGAACAGGCCTAACGTTACGTCTTTTATCCCAGTCTGTGCGGTTTTTTAAATTCGAGAAGTTAGTTCTCGGTAAGTCCCTCTGGTGGCGGTGTCGTGTACTATTCAACGACGCTTCGTTTACGTTCGCTGTACAGTTCAATGACGCTGTTTTAAAATAAATTTTTTTATTTCTGTATCCTGGAAGTGTACACGAAGCATATTTGAATGCTCCGTGTATTCTGCGGAGTGTTGTGGAGCGTTTGGGAAACATTAATGAAAAAAAAAATTTTTTAACGTGTGGGAAATGTGACAGATGTGTTCGGGCACATTTTACAGAGCGTTTGGGGAGAGTTCGGGGGGTATGTATGAATATTCGATTACACGACAATTTTCATTAAAAAAGAGGGGGTAATGTTGGTAGCAACAAAAACCTTTGAGGCACCATAGTTTTATTTTCTACGGATTGGTAATATTTACAAGTAGTAATCCGTTAGTTTGCGCCGATCATGGTCGATCGAGTGTAAAAGTAGTGTAATTACATGATAATTCGTGAACTGTTCGCGAACGGCTGTCATCGCGAAGGTTTATTCAAAACCACTAAGAGTCAATGAAAAGTCGATGAAGTGTTTAAAAAACGTTAAAATTCTTTGTTCGCACTTCTTTGACGCTTCGACAAGCTTTACATTTTCATCAAGGAAATTTTTTATCGGGAGGATATCACCTTCAACCAAACTACGATTAACTTAATCTAAAGCGATATCCGTACTATTTCATTGGAATAGACTTCGCATCAATAGAATTAATAGAATTAAATCAATAGAATTAATAGAATGAAATTTTGTTCATCGGATAGAAATACGAAGGATATTGTACTTACGTACAGCTAGAAATTTCCCGGGCTATCACCAGCGGGCGATGACTTAACCTAACCTAACCTAACTTCTCCGCGTGACGTCAATTGCTTTACGCCAGTGTCGCCAGTTTCCAGCAGTTCGGTTCCCAGGGTACAAAAATCGTGTCCGACTTTTGCAATATGTCCACGTAGGATCCGATCCTCCCGTCCCGGAAGAAAGAACCGTTCGATATAATGACTTCGTAGTCTCGAGGTGAACGTCTTTGTCAATTATCGCACATGACTCGCGTAACGATCGTTAACGATACCGCGGCATTCCGAAATTCAGGGCTGCTGGAATGCCGCGATGAATTTCCCACGTTTCAATCATTGCTCCGTTTGCTTTCTCGCACACCGAAGCTACAATCACAGCCGCGAGGTACATTATATATGTCACACGGCATGAAATATTTATGTGAAATGTCATTTTTTGACATAGAAATATTTCGTATACATTTATAAAATATTTTAAAATGTCGCGTTAAAGTATTTCACAAAAATATTTTAAAAATATTGTACAAACATTGTAAGAAAAAGAATATTTCAAAAACACTTCCTCGTCATATTTATATTTTAGAAATATTTTATGAATAATTTCGGAATTATTTTATCATTTAAATCTTGCAGCGAAATATTTCTGAAATATTTCATGCTATATAGGACATTTCATCGATGCCTCATATTGAACATGAACTTGAATTTTCGGAGCATTCCTCAATTTTCTATCTGGCCTAATGCCTCAATTATTTTTGCTTATCCCACATGTTGAACTGTGGACGCAAGGAAATTGTTAGATCCCAAATATTCTGCTTCAATGCATCTGTTTTTTATTTCTGTACCATTAGAGTTTTCTGTTTTGCTTTTACCAATTATCAAACACACCTGTTTCATTTTAAGTTCCAAAAAAATATACTGATTCAGCTTTAGAAAACAGACCTACATAACTTGTGGATTGGCTGTTAACTTAAGTTTAATCCTCAGCCTTTGACAACTAACTGATGTGACCATGGCCAGTCCAAGGACGCGACGAGTGCTGAGTGAATTGAAGCCGAAGGACGAGAACAATGTAAGCTTGATTGAGAGCCAGATGAAAAGAATATCAAGTGCTTTCTCACTTGTTTTTATAAAGATTAGATATTAGATATTTAGTGTTTTTAAGGTAAATTTTAGTCAAATGTTTAATTAATGCAGATCTTTTAATTTAAATTTCAACTTCTATATTTTTTGGTAAATATAATTTCTATCGTTTATCTCAGCACTTTGCATAGAATTGAGATATCACTCATTAACATAACTCAAAGAACAAAATTTTCCAGAAAATAAACATTTCAATGTTTTGAGTTAATATGTAGTATATTTTTCATTAATATGTATCTATTAAGAAAATGAAGTTAATTAATAGCTTCTTGCAACTTCTTTACGATTGTGTGAGATTTATACATACTTGTGCATTTTGTAGAAATGTTTCGAATGTGGCAACCACAATCCGCAATGGGTATCCGTGACGTATGGCATTTGGATATGCCTGGAGTGTTCAGGCAAGCATCGTGGTTTAGGTGTACACTTATCGTTTGTCCGTTCTGTCTCTATGGACAAGTGGAAAGATGTAGAACTGGAAAAGATGAAGGTCGGTGGCAATAGAAACGCCCGAGAGTTCTTTAAAAGTCAATCCGACTGGGTCGAATCTATGTCCATCTCACAGCGTTATAATACAAAGGCGGCGGCATTATACAGAGATAAGGTAAAGAGATTTATCATACTTTTTTATCTCTGAGTCCCTTTAGAGTTGCTTTATTCGCTTAAAAATACTTTTCTTTGCTTAGATCGCTACATTGGCGAAAGGAGAACCTTGGAGTCCAAGCAGTTCGACAGCAAAGGACTTCCAGCCTTCGACGTTCATTAAAAATAAGCAAGAATATTCGTACCAGAACGAGCTGTCTCCTTCTTATCAAAATATGGACTCCAATAATCTGAAGATGCAGACGGAATCCTTCTTTGCAAAGAAACAGAATGAAAATGCCGGTCGTCCAGAGTAAGTCTATAATCTGACTTTTATTTTCTATATCAGACGTTATGATACAATATTTAATATATTATAAAACATGGAACAATTAAGAGTACAAATAAATGGGAAATATAATAGATTTGAAAAACGAAGGAGTGAATAAGTTTAAATATTTGGAGAGTTTATGAGAACCGAAAAATGTGATAGCATTGTAAGAATAAGTGTGCATTAAGATAGGAGAAATAATTATAACGTTATCGTTTTAGTAATATCCCACCTAATCAAGGCGGTAAATACGGTGGTTTCGGCTATCAGATGGATCCACCACCCAAGAGTTCGTCCCAGGAATTGTTCGACACTGCAGTATCATCATTAGCGAGTGTACGATTTTTAACGTTCACTAATAGCGAATTCGATTGGATGCATTCAGTGCGCACTGGTGCACATTGAAAGTTGTCGTACACAAAATAACGTAAAGATATGTTTATAAATAAACATAAAAATCGATTAAATCGAAATACTCAATACATTTTATTGTATTGTTAGGTAAAATATGTATTTCATAATTCGAAATATTTGCATTTCATTTCATTTTTATACTCAAATCAGTGTATAACGGCTTTAATATGCACCATTGCGCACTAGTGCTTTTAATTCGCCATTAATGTCTTTAATTTAAAATTAATCTATTATTTCTTACTTATTACAGGGATGGTCAATATTCTCTTCCTCGGCGTCAAAAATAGCAAGCAAAGCTACCGAGAATGCAATTAAGATCGGAGGACTCGCGACGCAGAAGGCAAGTGTACAAATTTCGAGAAAGGCTCTCAAATGTAAACCAATTAGGGATTGAAAATTCATTTTTTTATTATTTTCTTATTGATCATTTATTTTTACCCATTCATTTATCTTTGATTATTAGAATCGCCACGGATAAATTTATTGGAGAGCATAAACGCGAGATATATTAATTATCGTTATTTTTGTACATTTATCTTCATTAATTCCTTATCGAATTTATAATTCTTATTTTTAAGACATTTTTATTTCGTTTTTCTCTGTGTATTAAATCATTAGGTTCGTGATGGCACATTATTAGAGGACGTAGGAGCCCAGGTCAATCATTTGGTTACAAAGGTATAAATTTTTTTGTTTGCTTTTTCTGTTCTGTTACCTATTTTTTAATTATTGTTAAAATTAAATTATTAGAAGTTATTATCATAAGTTATACAGGGTGTCCCACGAGAAGGTGTTGAAACTAATCGGCTGTCATTTTCGAAAGTATTCAGTTATTGAAAAAATAAAAATTGCACTGAAAAGAGGAAAGTCTGTAATTTTTAATGAGTATAAATAAAATTTAATAAAGTGTTTATGTATCAATTAATTTTATTGATGAAAAATATACTAAAATCAAGTAAACACTAAAATTAATATCGAAAACCGTAGATAAGATCGAAAAACAGTTTCAGATTTAGCAGCTATTTAAAAAGTTAATAACAATATTAAAAACGATATGTTAGAAAAAGTTTTAACGAGTTTTCGTAACAAAAATTGTGTTTTGTACAAATTCAGATGGTGCTCACTCCTAAAATGACACCCTGTATATGTATGTGTGTATATATATATATATATATATATATATAGGCAGATGTCCTATTAAGAGAAAAGAAATTTAGAAAAAAAATAATGCACAGGTTGGAGATATAACAAGACGGGGAGGATGGGGTGATATTGCTGGGACCAATTCAGCGGAACAACAGAGACAATATGATTCCGCAGATCGATATCAGTATTCTTCTGATACGTATCAGAATAGCGATTTAATATCGAATCGCTCCAACGAAAAATCGTCTCTTGTAAGAAGCTCCAGTTTAAAGTACGTACTTTCTAAGCTTCTAATAATACATATAAAAATAAATTTTTAATAAATTATCAATTAATAAGCCTGTGTTAGTAAAATACAATCGATTTATTCAAAATTTATTCCTTGTTTATTTCAGAAGCAACATTTCCGCTGGAGATTCTTCCAACACCTCGAACTGCGATTGGGATTGGGGCAACGACACGAAACAAACGAGCAAGACGGTAACTTCGAAGAGACAACCAAAGGCGGAGAGAAGAGAAGAATCATTGATCAATTTCGAAACGGACAATAAGGCACAACAAAATTGGAACTCGAAAGCGGAAGACGACGCCTGGGAAATATTAAATAATTAACCCTGATATCATTAGCGCGAATTAGGAAATGAGGATATCGGTATATGTTAATTTTAAAGAGAATTAAAGGACGGATACATGCATTTATATGAGATGTGTTTCTTATAAAGTTACCTATTTTCCTCGTAAAATAGGATACAATTTTGTTCAGTAATTCATAATACAATAAGTAACAAATCACATAATTATTATTGACGTATTAACTGTACAATATAAAACAATAACTGTACAATATAAAATCGTAATCTATTTCCAAGTCTTACAATTCTTTCGAGGATTTCTAATATTTAAACTCCAAAAAAAAATTTTAAACTTGGAGAATTCGAGATTATAAATCTACAATTTATGTAATTTTATTAGATACAGGGTTGGTAAAGACTAATATTTTTTTTTTAAATGAAATATATTGTTTCTTCTGTATAAATATGTTTTTAATACTACAAATATACTTTAAACTAGAGCTGGGAATGCCGTTTTTTTTGCATTTAGGCTGTACGTGGGTTGGTGAAATGAGGGGCAGGAATCACGCTGAAAATCGGCTGAAACGTGCAACTAAATCCCAGCTTTGCTTTAAACAGTACTATAAAAAAATATTTAAAACATAAAAACATTAACTAAGCATGTTTTAAACTATTTAAAATACGTTTAAAATGTTTTTTACCAACCCTAATTAGATCTAAGACGAACAGCTGCTGTTTTCTTCTATCCAGTATCATTCCTGAAATAAAAGCTACGATTATTTAGACAGCCATATCACTATAAAAATTAATCCTCAGATACCCAAGACGTTTAAAAACGTCATAACGTTGTAAATGCGAAGTCATTTAAAGATTTTTATATTTTTCGATTGTGTTATTGTTGTACACTGTGTATTATAAAATAATTACAAAAACAATAAAATTTTATTTTTAAAAATGCATAAAAGTATTCATTCTATAACAAAAATACATTCGATAATAATATAATTATTAAACACAGGTGAACGCAGTTCACCATTGTGTATAAATAAATTAAATAATAATGTATATGAAAAAAATTATAAAATTTGGTTTAAAATCTAATCATAAAGGCGATATCTAAGGATTAATATAAATAACAGAAACTAACTTTTTTCGCGAATATGTTCTTCTGATTGGCGATCTACTGTAGATATGTATTTTACTTAAATATCTCAGAAGATCCGGCTGTGTGTTTGGCCATACTTCCTCTATTATTTCTGATAATAGTTTGTGTAAGACAATCGCGGAATTATGTGAAAGCTGTGGTGCTGGCTGATTCGTCGTCATTTTATAAAGAAACTGGTATATTTCACTGAAAATTATACATCAGTTATCGTCAATTATTCAGTAATTTTATGGACTCAAAAACAAATATATGATATGAAATAGACTTAATTAAATAAATAATACATGTTATATATATATATATACATACACTATTTTAAATATATATAGAATACTTGGCAGCAGATGGGAAAACATTTAAGGATTGATTCTAAATGATAAAAAAAATAAGACAAAAATGGAGAATAACAAAATAGGGAATTCGTCTTCATTTTTTAATCGGTTTTTAATTCGTTTTAAATGTTCAAATATTCACGTAAAAAGTGCTTAAAACACATATTTAAGCATTTACAAAAACAAAGTCTCTGAAATTTTATTATCCTTGATTTTGTAATATTCTGAATGTTTAAATATTCACATAATAAAGTTAAATATACATAAATATACATAAATATAATAGAAGATACTTTTAATTCTAGAAGACCATCAATATTGAGCATACAATATTGATACATAAATTTTACATGCAAAGAAACAGACCACTCTTAATTAATGTGACACAAAATTTTCACACTTTTTATATATGAAATAGTAAAATTTATATATGTATAATAGCATTCTAGAGTTAAAAGAAGGACGATGCTCTCTACATCATACCTAAAGTCGCATTCTGTTTTTTTCTGATAGGGCAATAAATGCTGCTCGTATAATGCAATGAACAACAATGCCATAGGTATATTACATTCGGATTCCTCGAACAAATTACTGCGTAACCAACCAATTATCGAAGGCTTGTTCTTGAGGAAAGTCTGTGTCAATTCGAGCGCTGAATCCAGTTTAGATTGGCGTTCGTCCATAGACGTGCCCAGAATGCTATTAAAAGAAAGATTCTGTCCATGTTTAAAGAGATCATTCAATACCGTCATAGTCTTCTCTTTGCTACCAAAAGGAAGATCGTCTTCCTCCTTTTCACTGTTGTTGTAACTCTCTTTGTTATCATCTTCATTTTTCTCCATTTTAATGGTTGTTCGGCTAATAAATGATTTCTAACACACTGCAAAAATACAAAAGCATACTTTGAAATGCAATATTAGTAAATAGATAGTCCTGGTGAAAATTTTTCTCATAATTTTTATGGGAATTGGAATATTTTTCAAAAATACTCAGAAATATTCGGAAAGTTTACATCTTCTCTCAGAATTTTTCATACAACTAAATTCTGAAACATTCTGAAATTTCTCATCCCATAATTTTAAAAAATATTTTTAAATGTTTTTTAGATTTTATAACATTTCATCAGAAATTATACTTACAAAAAATCTTAGAAATCTTACGATATTTCATAAGTAACATATATGAAAAATTCTGAGAAAAGATGTAGATTTTCTGAGAAGTGTTCCAATTCGTATAAAAAATGTGAGAAAGTTATATAAAATTATATAGAAATTCTGAAAAATTATATGAAAAATTCTGAGAAAAATTTTCACCAGGGAGGCGATAAATAATGAGAGTTAATTAAATAGAATAAGTGAAGTGTTTAGTTTTTTCACCAACAATACTCACAAATTAACAAGAGACTAGATTGGTCTTAAAGATGAACTACCCTGAGAAAAATGTTCAGATTGTATCAACAAAACAAATTCTTATATCAATGAGAATTCTGATTATTATAATAGAGTTTCTGGTTATCTCGACAAGAATGTTTGGTAGATTTAGACACTATAAGTATCTGGATATTCTGGATTTCTATTTTTCTGATTGAATTTATCAAAATTCTAATTAAAAAGACTTTTTAATTAAAGTTCAAAGACTTTTTCCAGTGCATGAATGCTTAAAATGTGTACTTTAACTTTGTTTGTTAATTATCACGTAACTGATACGATGTCAACCATTCTTCTTCTTCTTATTTGTTGTCTCCTGCCACCAAAAATAATGAGACAATGTGGGTAAGTCCTACATGATAAATCTAGGACTCTAGTCAGTGGTAGGTTGGCTGCCATGTGATATATTATTATTATTATTATTTCCTAGCTCTATCTGTGTATGTACGCCACACGAAGGTTGTGTTTACTTACGTGTTTACATCGCGGTTTTTGCACATTTCTGCAAACTTCAGCCTTCCGGCCTTCAGCTTCTGGGAACGAGACGATCCCTTTTTTCCAACGGATGTTTGTGACCTCCTGTCATAAAGCTGTCCAACCTCGACGAGTGAGTATTTGTGGAAAGAGACAGAGAATGTCTTGTTTAAATAGGTAAACGATTTTTAGTCGTAAGAAAAACCTGAGACAAATTAACCTCCGATTTACCTCCGATTTAGAGGTTATTTTTCTTCATCTATCGTAAGGAAGCTTTGTTAAACCTAAGCTTTGTTCGTTTTCTCTCAGAATTATAAAATAGCTTGCCTTCAACGTCTCATTTTTGGAACATCGATCCTTGCATAGTTGCTATTCGGACAAAAAAGGGCAGAGTTGATAATCTAATTCTAATAATTGATTCCCTGAAAATATTTTTAAATTCAACAACCTAAAAAAGTTATGTATATTACATAAATTTGTTAAATTGTTAAATATTAAGAACATTTGTAATATTAATAATTAGGAAAATAATGTAAATATATACATATATTATTTTTTATGTAATTATATTAAAAATGTATTCTTAATTTAATATCATAAATTTATGTATAATATACATAAATTCATTAAATTGTTAATATTTAATAATTTCAATATTAAATTTAAATTATTAAATATATTTAAATATTTTTAATATTATATTAAGGATATATTATAAAAATAATAATGTAAACATTATATTAAATTTACATTTAACAAATTAATGGTTATTTATATTTAAAAAAAAACTTCTCTGAATCACAATAAAATTTATTCCAAAAATGACGACAAATCAGAGTAATGTCTATTGTAACGCGACTATGCTCTGTTCGTTCCTAGAAAGGACCGGAAGCGAGCCAGTATGCCGGAGCCTGTGAATCACCAGGTGAACGCCGCTCGTAAGACGTTCCAGACTCTCTACCAAATCTCTAAGCTGCTGAACACGAATCTCGATCAGACCACTTTGAGTATCTGTATCAGGCTGTGCGAGAATGGGGTGAATCCACATGCTCTTGCAAACGTGGTGAAGGAACTTCAGCGAGAGGTCAAGGCGATGAACGACGGACAACTGGAGTCTTCCGCCAGCAAGACTAGCACAACCAAGTGAATGCGAACAAGTATGACGCTATTGTTGCCCTCCCACACTTTCTACAGAATTTAACTTGAGTTATTAAAAAAAATATACGTTCTCGAATGTAGATAGTATCTATAAGATATTTTATTTATTATACGAATAAACTAATAAACGTACAGTGTAAACTTAACGCTTGATAGAAACAATTTGGTTCCTGTAAACAAAGTAGAAAAACAATATTTCTCAAAAGTATGACTTTGTACAAAAATAGACAAATGGAAAATGTTTAAGAAATTAATCGTGAGATTACAACTCGTTTTTCGATTTCTTGGCACTTGGCTTTTTCATTGACTCGTCAATTATAATGCTTTCTCCCTAGAAAGAGAAACGTTTCTTTTATTTCTCACATAAGAAAGTTTACAAACACTTTAAGATTTCGTCAATACGTTATCGTTACCTCCTTCAGCGATGGATAATATGACTGTCCATCGATCGTGACAGAAGCCACTTCAGGATGCTGTAGCAAATAATTTTTACCATCGATAGCATGAGCTCCGTCGTGAAACATGAATATGAAACGTTTATTTTCAATTGGGTATCTGCACAGTAAACATTTCAAATATTTTAATTAATCTCCTATCTTGGAATGCTTTTAAAGTGCCTGCGCATATCTTGGGTGCAACAATGCTGTACCTTTCCATAGTGATATGATTATTTTGTAGGCCAGTCTGCCAGATACGCGTTATGACGTCAGCTTGCTCCTCCGAGACATTTGACTGAAGATCTACGAACATCATAACGCCTTTTCCTTTCTTTGTCACTTTTAGCATACTCTCGGGATTTTTTATGTCTAGCTGCAATAGATCGTTAAAAACAAATGAATTTATATATTTGCATGATCTTAACGCTCTGCCAGCAACATGAATTTTAACTTTTCCTCAGCAACAGAGATCTTCGAGAAACAGAACAAATTTTTGATTCTACCAATTTATACAAAAATAGGAAAAATTCTTACATATTTGTCAAAACTTTAACAATGAGCCTTCCTGATGACAGAAGTTGGATTGTATTTTATTTATTTTTTACAGATTTAAATTGATCAAAATTTACAATAAAAAAACTCGACAGTGCCTTTAAAGTTACATTGCCAGTAGAGGATTAAACGATGGTTTCAGATTTTCATGTAACATGGTACATTACCTTGGAGATATCTATCTTTGGAGCAGGTCGCAAGTGTTCCGGCAACTCATCTGGCTCCAGGGGTTCATCGTTTGCCTAAGATATCACATTAATCAAAAAGTTCGTTCGCGTTGCTTTCGTCTTATTGATATAACAGTCAAACAGAGACAAAAAACGAATTTTGTTTTATCTAAGAATTCAATGTAATGGCCATACTTCCCACTGTTCCAGCAAACGCTCCGCGTCAGCGTCCGTCATGAACATCATGTTGTCCTTGTTTTTCCACGATTTCTTTTTTCGCTCTTTAGTATCCGATGTGGACATCACCATAACAAAGAGCATAAACAGGCCCAGGACAACAATCCTCGATTTCATTTTGCAAATGATAGAAAATCACGTCTTTACCAGGAACGATTTATCGTAATGCGTTATGAACATTACAGGAGTGTTTCTGAAAATTCAAAAGAGAGCCTTTTGTTCAGATCAAATTAACAGTTTCCCTTTAATTCGAACTTTCGTTCAACAATTGAAAATCAACCAAACAATCTGGACATTGGAATGCCACAGGATCAATCATGTTACGCCAATTATAGCAAGTATTGTAAGATTATGCCTATACTCCGACATTCTTCAAAATGTAAGAAGAGTTTAACTGGACACTAAAATTCGAGCAGTTTGAATTTAACAATATATAAAAAATATAACAAACAACACAAGTAGAAACGTCGATCTATTACCTTCAGTCGAACCTCGCATTTCCACGACAACACATCGTCGAATCGAACTCCATATTGCCAGGCAGGATGCGCAAGTATTGCGTACAAACTAAATCCAGGAAGAACAAAAAATAACCAGATTTCGAAGAGATTTTATTTCTAGCTTAGGATTTGAGTGCAAGACACTTTAGGTCAATATAATAGGTCTGTTCGCGTTGCTTGCACTTTTGGCACTCGGCATCTTCGCTTTCTCTCTTTTCAAGGCCAAATATATATCTATCTCAATGGGTGCGTTCAGCAGAACGTTTGTTTTGCAACTGTTGGAAATTTCCTTCGCGCTAATTGGATCATACTTTTAGATCTAGAAGAATGGTCCTATCTCAGCAGACAATCATAAAACGGTTGCAAAACTGTTGAGTCTGCTGAACGCAGCTATTTTAAATGCAAAAATATTTAGGGATTTCATACAACGCGAACAGACCTATTGACCCCTTTTACACCGAGCACTTGATGCGCGTATTAACTAGTAACTTTCTATTAAATTATTTTAATTTCAGCAATATATTTAAAGAATGATGTACTAAATTGGTAGAATATGCATTCATGCATCAAAATGATTAATTAAATACACATATCATGTATGTTTACACGATTCAGAGCCAATGGCTACGTTTACACCGTGCGCTTAGTCCGCGACCTATACGATAGGTATCTTTGTTTAATATACAGGATAAACAAGGACATCTAT